TTTTCATGTTATGCATTGTATAAAAATTGTAATGATGGTATATAAGTCTGTGATAAGTTTCAATGGATTTATGACATTTGGGCACTACACTTCAATGGGCTTGACTATTGTATGAAATTGCATTAAATTCCAACTAGTGTATTGAATTCCAACTAGTGGTTTTCAAGTTATGCTCTGGACAAGGAAAATGCAATGGAAAAGTAAGAAAGGTTAATAACTCTATAATAACTTATTAAGATATGCTCCCTGCACTTCCTTTTTTTGCTTGACCATTTTATGAAGTTTTTTTGAATTTTAACTTTTACTTGGGTGACTCCTATATACCCCCCAAATTTTGACTCAATGTCAAAATTTGAATAATCTCTGTAGAGGAACACTAGATCATGCTACATACTAAATATCCAGACTCTGGGCTTGTGGATTTTAACAAGAAGTTTTTCAAAGATTTTTTTATAACAAGGGCCATCAGTGATGACATGTGTTGCATCATGATAGCCAAGTGCATGTTGCAGCTACTGTGTAGCAGGAAACCAAAAAATCATTAACAGGGCAAACTTATTTCTATTCAAGGGCAATAACTCAGCTGAAAATCATTTACGTGAAACAAAAGTGAATTATACTTAAGTACTTGACCTATCAAACAAGCCTGTAAAGATTCATTGAAATTGCATCAGTAGTATAAACGGAGTAGTCTGGACAAACTTTATAAAATAAAAATAACTAGAACTATCGCTAGATGCGATTCATACACCCATCAATGTCCCTGAAAAAAACAAACTTGGAAAGGTGGTTAAGGGAATAACTTTAGTGGCACAAATACATAAAAAGAAATTATTTCTGGTGAAAAAAAGACTAATTGTACAGGTAAAGTATAAATAATTATATATTATCAAATCATGTTTGAAACAGTTACTAATAACCTTTCATTTTCTCAATGTACTAAACATTTTATATGTCAATTTGTGACCTTCAATTGTGGCCTTGACCTTTAGCTGGCACAAGGGTAAGATAAGTTCTGCACATTGCCCAGTTGGGATGAACATTTGAGTAAAGTTTAAAGAAAATCCGTCCATTAGTATAGAATTTATAGAGTTGACACGAAATACTGTCTAGTATTGATTGTATGTAAATTTAAAGACTTAAAAAGGGGCATAACTTTGTCAAAATGCAAAACATAGTTATGAAACTTGACCTGCATATCTTATTTGTGACACCTCATCTATCTCAAATACTTGTGCTAGTTTCAGAAATATTCAAGTACATGTTAAAATTTAAGAACATTTTCTAAGTCAGTTTTTTACCTTCAAGTGTGACCTTGACCTTTAGCCGGCAAAAAGGTGACATAGCTTCTGCACATAACCTTGTTGAGGTGAACATTTGAGCAAAGTTTGAAGAAAAATTCTTCCATTGATATAGGATTTATAGAGCGGACTTGACATATTGTCTAATATTTGATTGTTTGCAAATTTGAAAACTTAAACATGGGCATAGCTTTGTTAAAATGCAATAAAGAGTTATGAAACTTGACCAACATATCTTCTTTGTGACACTTCATATATATTTTAAGTTTCAAGCAAATACCTTTACTAGTTTCAGAAATCAAATACATGCTAAAATTTAGGAATATTTTCTAAGTCAATTTTTGACCTTCAAGTGTGACCCTGACCTTAAGCCGGCAAAAGGGTGACATGGGTTCTGCACATAACCTTGTTGAGGTGCACATATGAGCCAAGATTGAAGAAAATCTTTCAATTAGTGTAGGACTTACAGAGTGGACACGACATACTGTGTAATATTTGATTGTTTGATATTTGACCTTCAATTGTGACATTGACTTTGACAGGTGACACAGGGGCAACATAGGTTCTGCACATCCCCTTATTGAGGGGAACATGTGAGTCAAGTTTGAAGAAAATCCTTCAATTAGTGTTGGACTTACAGAGCGGATCATCATTAAAATAAAACACAGGTTGAATATGCACAAGAACTTGAGCTACAGATCAATCCTGTATAGTTTCATTGAAATTGCATTAGTGGTATAAGAGGAGTAGCCGGGACAAACTTTTAAAAATAAAAAGTATTTAAAGGCCATAACTATGACAAAATCAATGAATCAGAAAATAATGATGATAGGTTCAAGCAGACTTGGTACTGATAATTCCTGTAAAGTTTGGATAAAATTGCACAAGCAGTTTATGAGGAGTAGTCCAGACAAGTTTTGTGACGGATGGACAGATGGCCACACAAAATGGTACTTATGTGACTTTTCCTTTGATCTTTTTAGCCATTTTTAGTCATACAAGGCTTAAAAAAGACACACAAGTAAAATCAGAATGAACAGGATGAAAGAAAATTTACTTTTACATATTGTTCTCCAAGTCACACAACAATGGACGGACAGACAGACAGACCACGATGATTTGATCCATATATGTCGCCACTACTGCGTACAGACAACACACAAATCAATAAGCCCCGTGGCAGAGCTCCTTTTAATCCTAGGAGCATTATTTGAACAATCTTTGTAGAGAACCACTAGATCATCTTATATACAAAATATCAAGGCTTAAGGCCTTGTGCATTTTGACAAGGAGATTTTTAAGATTTCCATAAAAATGAGGAGCCACATGGCGGGGCCCTTTTGACTCCAGGGTAATAATTTGAACAATCTTTGAAGTGGACCACTAGATGATGTTACATACCAAATATCAAAGTTGTAGGCCTTGTTGCTTTTGACAAGAAGATTTTAAATTTTTCTTTAAAACGATAAGCCCCCTGGCGGGGCTCCTTCTCATCCTATGGGCATAATTTGAACAATCATTGTAGAGGGCCACCAGATCATAATTATCATATACCAATTATCAAGGTTCTAGGCCTTGTGGATTTTGACAAGAAGATTTTCTCTTTATAACTTCATATAAATCTGATAATCCCCCTGGCAGGACCTCTTGTGATCCTAGGGGCATAATTTGAACAATCTTTGTTTTAAATACAAAATATCAAAGCTCTACGTCTTCTGTATCTGACAAGAAAATTTTTAAGATTTCCCTATATATTTTTCTATTAAACTGGGGAGCCCCCTTGCAGGGTCCCCTTTGACTGTAGGGTCATAATTTGAACAATTTTTGTAGAGGACTTTTGTAGATCATGTTACATACCAAATATCAAGGCTCTATGCCCTGTGGTTTTTGACAAAAAAAATCCCGAAATAACTTTATATAAAACGGATAAGCGCCCTGGCTGGGCCCTTTTTATCCTAGGGGTATTATTTATACAATCTTTGCAGACCACCACTCATAAGATGATGTTACATACCAAATATCAAAGATGTAGGCCTTGTGGTTTTTGACAAGAAGATTTTTAATATTTTTCTTAATCAATAAGCCCCCTGGCGGGGTCCTTGTCATCATATGGACTTAATTTGGAGGACCACTAGATCATGTATATACCAAATATCAAGACTCTGTGCCTTGTGATTTTTGACAAGAAGATTTTCCCTATATAACTATTTATAAAAACCAATAAGCCCCCTGGCAGGGCTCCTTTTGATCTTAGGGGCATCATTTAAACAATCCTTGTAGAGGACCACTAGATCATGTGACATACCCAAAACCAGGGCTCTACACCTTATGGTTTTTGACAAGAAGCGTTTTTAATATATGTATCCGGTTAAAAAACTCTTTTGGTTGCCTTTGTAACCAGAGTTCTTCAAGGAATTAAATTCATTAAATAACTTTGGTAGAGCTTCATGCAAGGAACATGCCTGCCAAGTTTCATTAAATTCGGCAAAAACAGATTGGAAAAAACGTCCTTTGAATGAAAAAGTTAACGCACGGACAAACTAACGACGGACGACAGAGGACAGGGTGTCACAAAAGCTAACCTTGTCACTTTGTGAAAGGTGAGCTAAAAACAATAAGTCATATTTTACTAAAAAACAAGATGCTACTATTTATAGCTCTGGCCATCATTTTAAGCAGCAGAAAGGAACATGCCTGAGATATGCACAGCTAGGAATGGTACTGATCACTTCTGTGAAGTTTCATATGACCAACAGTTTGACCTGTGAAAACTGGACAAGATTTTTCTATTTATAGCTCTGGTGGCCATTTTGTGCAGCGGAGCGCAACATTCCATCAAAAACACAACAAGGGATGGTACTGATCATATCTATTTAAAGCTCTGGTGGCCATTTTGTGCAGCGGAGTGGAGCGTGCTGTGGATATGCACAACTAGGGATGATACCGATCACTCCTGTGAAGTTTCACTGAATTTCCGCTAGTGCTTTTGAGATAAAGCACAGACAAGATTACTGGACGGAAAAACACATAAAGAACAGTGCGATTACTATATGCTGCCCTTTGGGGGCAAAAGGAAAGAAATATTAACAAATACAGTTGACTCTCGGTAACTCGAAATCCAAGGGACTGGGCATTTTACTTCGAGAGAAACGGAATTCGAGTAACGTGGATCTCCCGTACCTTGACCTTCGTACATGTATATACATGTGCCTGATTGAATGTGCAAAGAAATATGTTTGTTATTGTTGATAGCGGCAATGCTGCAATATTTAACTGTTAAAATGACGGTATATCACTTACAACTACAAATTATAAATGAACAGAAACATATCATTCAAAATTTTAATACATGTATATTAATAGTGAAACATAAACACAAATATTCGTTTTGCCGACCTTTGATCAGTCGGCTGTTTTCATACTTCGACTAATTGAGATGAAAATATGTTCGACGTTAATTGACGGGACCAAATTTTCTTTTTGACTAAACAGGAGTCTCGGAAGAATTTTGAGTAAAGCGATTTTGACTTATTGAGAGTCAACTGTATACACGATTGATAAAGAAATAGCGGGTAAAACATGAAAAGCCAATTTAACCACACTTCTAAACTTACTTGCAGCTAAAGTCATATAAGATGCTAAGAAATAGCAGGGAAAATATGAAATGACAATTCAATTTAACTACACTTTTTAACTTACTTGCAGCTATAGTCATTAAAGATGTTATAACAGGTCCCCTGACATCTACCTCCTGTCACTTGGTCATTGCACTTTTTCACTGCGGTCTCACAGTTTATTCCTTGCCAACCATTAATGCAAGCACATGTGTAACCTCCAATTCTACGATTACAGGTACCACCATGCTGACACGGATTACTTGAGCAATAATTTATTTCAATCTGAAGCGGGAAAAAACAGCAATTAAAAATTCCACATTTTATAAGTATTAAGATACTCAAGATTTTGGTACTTCACTGACTTCCGTGACTTTTATTTTGTGTTCTAAATCTATATTTTATTTCTCTATCTTGTATATCACACTTTTAAATCTTATTGTTAATATCTGTCTCTCACTTTTAAATCTTATATTGTATTGTTTATATTTATATCCCACTTCTAAACCTTATATTGTATTGTTTATATTAATATCCCACTTCTAAACCTTATATTTTATTGTTTATACCCACTTCTAAATCTTTATCTTATTGTTTACATTTATATCCAATTTCTAAATCTATATCTTATTGTTTATATTTATATCTTATTGTTCATATCTAAATCTTATTGTTTATATCTGTATCCCACTTCTTAATCTTATATCTAATTGTTTGTATCTATACCCCACTTCTAAATATTATATCTAATTATTTATAGTTATATCTTATTGTTTATGTCAATAATCTATACCCCACTTCTAAATCTTTATCTTATTGTTTATATCTATATTCCACTTCTATTTTATAGATTTTATTTCTAACTTGCCCATGCGACCACGTGTATTAAGCGACTTTTGTCTTAAACGACCACTTTTAATTCCCCAATCTTTTCTCTCTTAATATATTTAATGTATTAAGCCACTTTTGCTCAACACGACCAGTGACCGCTCATTTAAGTCAGCTAATTGAGATATAAATCTTTTTTTTATTAAACGACCACTTTTACCTGTCAAGTAATTGTGTTTTTAGAGAACGCCGCCTTGTAATGTCACAAGTGTCAACAATCAAAACACAACAAATAAATGTGTGAAAAACTCTTTTTCTCAAACCATTTTAGTGTATGAAAATGAAGTTAAGTATACGCTTGACGTGTATTATCAAATAATATCAAATAATCAATGCAACGCTCCGCTCCTACTGAGATGGTGTATAGGCTTCGATTGTTGACATTTAGACCGCATTGAGTTGACCTTGAACTTGATCAGCAATTAAATGAATCATAATAACAATTAGATGCAGTTTGTTTATTTCATATGAGAAAATGCACAACAGAAAACATCTTCACTAATAGGGTTTTTGAGTTGGAGACAAGGAAAAACAACGGAGAAATTTAAAAATTCTGGAAAAATGTCAAACATGTACGTAATTGATCAAAGTTTTCTCAATAAATATCAGAAAGTTATATTTTACATTAGCATCCAGATTATCGGAGCGTACTAATTATTCAAATCTATATAAATGAAGTTGAAAAATATTCCAGCCGCCAAAGAAAGATGTCATTTATAAATTTTGACTTTTATATCATGCTTTGTCTTAAGAGACTGTTTCTTCAAGCGATCATTTTGGGTGTTTCCCTTATGCGCAGCCGCTTAAGGTATTAGGACCCTAATGGGCACTAAAAAATTGACATCATAGGTCAGATGTATACCTTAAAGTACACCTGTATGCAAATTTTAAACAAAGTTTACCGTACGGAAATCAAGTTATGGCCACTTTTCTGAACTCAAGCGAGGATGTTATGAGGGCCCTTTTTTAGAAATGAGGAACCTTTAAATAATCTGCTATAACATTCTAATGAAAAATGTTTTCCCATGAATTTTTGGTAAGAAACAAACAGTATCATTCAGCTAACAATCCACATCAGCAAAATTATGGTTTCTACTTAAAATTAATGAAATCTGTCTAAAAATGTTACTGTTGTGTATAACTCTGTTATTCATTGGTCAGAATGTATTACTAATAAGCCCCGCCTACTTACCCTATCTTAGCATGCCACGCTCTGTATCAAATCAGTTAATAAACGATAGTTCAGCATTAAAGACGTGTTACTTCTCTATAGAAAACATAACAATCTGGCGACGAGGATAATTGAACATTAAATTTCGGGGATTTTATCTATTAGATATTAATGTAATTATCATAATATGTGTAAAATTCTGGATTTAATTTATAAGTTTTAAAATGGCTGCATTAATTGGACATTTATCTGGATTTGATGGCAATTCAGAATCATGGACATGCTATCAAGAACGTTTAGAGCAGTACTTTTTAGTAAATGAAATAGACGATGAGAAAAAAGTTCCAGCTTTATTAACTTTACTTGGAGAAAAAACTTACGGGTTACTTCGAAATTTGACATCACCGGACAAACCTTCAACACAGTCATATGACGATCTTTGTGAATTATTGAATAAACATCTTAACCCAAAGCCATTGATTATAGCTGAACGATTTAGATTTCACAAACGAAACCAAGCGGCGGGTGAAAGTGTAAATGATTATGTAACTACACAGAGGAAATTGGCAGAACATTGCGATTTCCAAGCCAGCCTAAACAATACGTTACGGGACCGCTTAGTTTGTGGACTTAAAGATGAGCACATACAGCGTAAACTATTGTCGATGGAAGACTTAAGTTTAAAGAAGGCTGTTGAAACAGCAGTTGCTATGGAAACAGCAACGAGGGACGCCGCAGAACTTCAGTCGTTGACCGCAAGTGTAAATAAGGTTGAGAAAAGGAAACCTTCGAGAAGAGTTGAACACAGGCCACGGCAAAAACCGGCGACTGCAAACTCGACCGGGAAACAAAACGGAAAATGCATTCACTGTGGTAAAGATAATCATGCATCTTTCAAATGCCGATTTAAGAATGCCATTTGCCATGCATGTAATGCACATGGACACATAAAAAGTATTTGTCTGAAAGCACGTGCACGAGACGTACATGCCATGAACAACGACGACGTTCCTGTGATGAGTATAAATTCCGTGACCAAAGGTTCGAGCAGGAAAATCACCATCACACCAGAGATAGACGACAGACCCTTACAAATGGAAGTCGATACGGGCTCAGCTGTTTCTCTGATGTCAAGAGAAGAGTTCCAGAAGTGTTTTGGAAATGTTACATTGGATAAGCCAACATCAGTATTAAAGACATATTCTGGTGAAGAAATACAGCAAGCCGGAACAAAACTGGTAAATGTAAGGTACAATGGACAGTCAAAATCGCTGAAACTGTGTATTGTCATGGGCAACGGTCCCGCATTGTTTGGACGGGACTGGATGAATGAAATTATATTGGACTGGTCACGTATTGTACATGTGAATTCAATTGATGATCACTCAACACAAACACGTATAGCCGATATTATGAAGCGATATGAGTCAGTGTTTTCCGACGGTATCGGGAAAGTTAAAGATATTAAAGCAACGCTATCTGTCAAAGAGAATGCTTCACCGAAATTCGTAAAAGCTAGGCCAGTACCATATTCGTTAAAGCCGAAAATAGAAAAGGAATTAGACATTCTAGAAGAACAGGGCATTATTACGAAAGTGAATACATCAGAATGGGCTACACCTATTGTGCCCGTAGTTAAATCTTCGGGAGGAGTAAGAATTTGTGGAGATTTCAAAGTCACCGTAAATCAAGCTATAAATGTAGATAAATACCCACTTCCGAGAATAGAGGACATTTTCGCGAATTTGGCAAATGGAAAGAAATATTCAAAGTTGGATTTACGCCAAGCATATCTTCAATTGGAGTGCGATGACAAAACAAAAGAAATGTTAACGATTAACACTCACAAAGGTCTATATTCTTATAATAGATTGACATATGGAGTATCATCAGCACCTGCAATATGGCAAAGAACAATTGATCAAATTCTTCAAGGAATACCAGGAGTACAGTGCATTCTCGATGATATGGTCATTACAGGAGAAAATGATCAAGCTCACTTAAATAACTTAGAAACAGTAGTGCAACGGTTGTCAAAATATGGTTTAAAAGTGAATAAAGAAAAATGTCAGTTCTTTCAAGAGAGGATTACATATTGTGGTCATGAAATTGATGAAAACGGTCTGTGGAAATGTAATGATAAGGTGGATTCTATTTTAAATACACCACGTCCACAAAATGTCACATCTCTCAGGGCATATCTCGGATTACTAAATTACTATCATAGGTTCTTAAATAACCTAGCCACGGTAATTAAACCGCTAAATCAACTGCTAGAAAAGGGGCGTAAGTTTGTTTGGACTAAAGAATGTCAAAACGCGTTTGCGAAATCAAAAGATTTGATTACGTCAGAACCCGTCCTTACGCATTACGATCCCAAATTACCCGTACGGTTAGCAACGGATGCTTCCCCTGTCGGTATTTCTGCAATATTATCACATGTAATGCCTGATGGCAGTGAGAAACCAATTGCATTTGCAAGCCGTTCGCTATCAAAGTCTGAAAGAATGTACGCGCAAGTACAAAGGGAAGCTACTGCAATATACTGGGCAGTACACAAATATTATCCGTATCTATATGGTCGAAAATTCACGCTGATAACAGACTGTCAAGCACTGTTGTCTATATTCTCTCCGAGCAAGGGCATCCCTGCCACTTCTGCTGCGAGAATACAACGATACGCGGTTTATTTGTCAGGCTTTGATTATGATATAGAATATAAAAGTACTAAGAAACATACTAATGTCGATGGAATGTCACGTTTGCCCGCGCCATCAATATTAGAAAATGAAAGTAATTTTGAGGAAGTATTTTTCAATGAACAATTTGATAAACTTCCTATAACTAGCGCGCAAATCAAGCGTGAAACGCAGCGAGAACCTATCTTATCGCGTGTTTACGAAAATGTAAACAAGGGCTGGAGTCTGAACTTAAATGACCCTGTCCTGAAAGGTTATCACACGCGCCGGAACGAATTAACTATTCAAAGAGGCTGTTTAATGTGGGGAATTAGAGTTGTTATTCCTGAGAAACTCAGAGGTCAAGTTTTAGATCTTCTGCACTGTAGCCACAGTGGAATAGTTAAAATGAAAAATTTAGCGCGAAGTTATGTCTGGTGGCCTGGCATTGACTCAGACATTGAACACATGGTGAGACAATGTCAGGGCTGTCAGATGCAGCAGAAAATGCCAGTAAAAGTTAAACTTCACCCATGAGAAAATG